GTTTAATCATTAATTGAAATATTTTTATGTAAGTTGAAACACTTCACAATGAAAGTAATTTCTTATAAGCAAGAACTTGTATGCCTTTTTGTTAGAGCAAAGATTCTGTTAATATTTTGGGCTGCAGCTACTTCAAAATAATGGATCTGGGACTGAATTAGAATGTGGTTTTTTTTAAAAATAATGTTTTGCTACTCAGCAAAATAAAGAATGAGGTAGAATTGTGAGATTTTCTTGTCAGCTGTCTACCACTGTTGCTGAGGGAAGACCCAGTGTGCAAAGGACAGGTGATATACAAAGAAACTAAAAACAAATAAATGAAATCCAAGTTGCACCAGCGTGCAAGTACAGAAAAAAAGGATGAGAATAAAAGGGTGGTGAGGAGATAAGAGAAAGCAAAGGTTATTTTTTTTTTAAAGCTCCAAAAATCTCCAGGTGCACTAAACCAACACTTTTATGAAGTATTTAGAACAAGCAATCATATTTTGAAACTCAGTTGCTGAAACCAAAGATTTTTAAAGCAACGTTAAGTTTAACCTCAACGAAAATCAGACCAAGTTCCTGACAGAGTTGTTATCAAGATAAATTCATTAAGTTCAAGAACTTTGGGAGATGGAGAAAAAATAGAAAAGCCTTACATATTGCAGGTTACTTAGAATCAGGCCTTTGACTTTTGGTTGTTTTGAAATGCAGGCAGTGTTTTAGCTGAATGCTACGTGCAATGTACTTCCTGCCGGCGTAGAACAACTCCTCCCTTATGTTGCCAACCGAGTTCATTTAGGATGGCATCTGGTTGTAGTTCATAAGAGATACTCGTGGAAAAGTATGAGAAAGAAGACAACGATCCTTTGTGTGATGTGCTACAAGCTAAAAGTAATCCACTGTTTTCAATATAGGGTTTACTTCATTGTAGTAAACTAATGACAAAGTGATTGGACCTGTACTTAGCATAAAGCCTCCCTTCCGTATCAACCACAGCCCTTACTCATCTAAGACCCAAACAATCTGAAAGCTGCATGAACTAGTACTCTCCTGCCAAATTAGTACTTCACAATATGGGTTTTTTCCACGTACACTACCACCTGGAAATGTTCAGTCAGCAGATACAAATTGAGAAACTTTTTCATTCTTAATAGAATTGTTTATAGTTGGGAGACAAGACACGTTAAGGTGATCAGAGACTTGTGAACAAGTGCATAAGGAGAGTTAACTCGTTTTTACCTGGTTACGGTAGAGTACATCTCCAATTAGAACACACAACAGACTTCTCGTATCCTCCACAAGACTATCAAACTTAATTTTCTCAAAAGACATGTATAGATTTGATAAAAAGCTAGGAAGAATGATGTGCAGCAGATAAACGTATGCCAGGCCTCCAAATATGACTTTGATCGGAGTTAAATTCTGAAGCAGTCTCCCCCACTGACTGTTTTGTCAGAGCAGCTGTAGATAATTTACAGCAGTCAGGGAGGAAAACATAAGCAAGCTGAACCAGCACAACCCAACAGTGACATTCTCTGCACCACCACCGTAGATCATTCACGGTCTCCTCTCACTTCCATACCCTGGGAGAAAAACACACAAAAGTCACAAGTCCATTAGTATTTTGAAAACTTGAAGAAACCTTTTGTCACGGTTGAACCCCATGAGTAGGCAGCTCGGCACCACGCAGCTGCTCTCTCACTCCCTCCTGGTGGGACAGGGAAGAGAATTGGAGGGGCAAAAGTGAGAAAACTCGTGGGTTGAGATCAAGACAGTTTAACAGGTAAAGCAAAAGCCATGCATGCAAGCAAAACAAACCAAGGAATTCATTCCCCACTTCCCATGGGCAGGCAGGTGTTCAGCCATCCCCAGGAAAGGAGGGCTCCGTCACGCGTAACGGTGACATGGGATACCAGACGCCATAACTCCGATGTCCCCCCTTCTTCTTCCTCCAGCTTGTGTTGCTGAGTGTGATGTCATATGGCTTGGGGTATCCCTTTGGTCCCGGCTGTGTCCCCTCCTAACTTCTTGCGCACCCCCAGCCTGCTCACTGTCGGGGTAACATGAGAAACAGAAAAGGCCTTGACTCTGTGCAAGCATTGCTTAGTAGTAACTAAAGCATCCCTGTGTTATCAAATCCAAAAATCCAGAACACATCAGCACACCAGCTACTGTGATGAAAATTAACTCTATCCCAGACAAAACCAGTACACCCTCCCATTTCAGGGTAGTTCCAGTATTTCACTGAATTCAGAGAAGGAAACATGGAAATTCACTCACTCAAAATCCAAACCTAGTGTTAGCTCCTTACCCTTACAGTTTATCTTCCGCAGTCTGCACAAGATCACTAAACTGGAGAGAATTTAGGTGATACCTGATCTGTACAGCAAAGACAGCAATAGAAGTTAGCAGAACTATGATGCCTCTTTGTATGTCTTAATTAGAGCCAATTATCATCCTTACATAGTTTAGGCATACCTACTACAACAATTCAAGCAACTTCATTTAACAACTATTGAGGAAAAAAGTATCGGCAGATCATATTTTCAAGTTGTAAAACTCACCTGTTAAATGCTTTGCCCAGAAGTAGAAGATGGGTCTAGGTCTTTAGTCTGGACATACTGAGGTAGACTAAAACTGATGTCAGTAAATAATGCACTGAAATACCCTGAGGTACTTTGAAAAGCTTTCAAAACCAAGCATTAATCTAGAAGCACAAAGAATGAGGTATCAATATCCTAATGTTTATCACAGGAAATCATATCAGGTCATAGTTTTAGGTATTTTGAAGATTAGAATAGGAATTTTCTACCAGTGGATTTCGGCCAGCTATTGGTGTGGAGAAAGGACGTTTTGCTCGGTCTTCTACAGTATTTTTTAAACATAGCCTTAGCATCTAAGGTTCAGTACTAGCCTTTTTAGTTGCATCTAGTCTGAAAGCTTTTTTATGACAGTAGTGCCTGTTGTACTGGTGTTCCTTCTTGTAACAGAGGTCAGCTAAAGCTGTGTTTGTGGCTCTGACTAGAAACCCAGTGAAAAACCAACAGTTCTAGCTAAGGTGATACTATGTGAGAAGCCTATAGGATAAAACTGATCATATTTTGTTATTCTGTGGGAAGAGAATTGTCCAAGTTATATATTTTTTAACAAAGATCAGGAAAAACCAGACATTTTATTTTAAAGTAGCTGGTACTATAGAAATTATTCCAACTCAGACTGATAAACCCTATAAAAATATAAAGGTTTTTTTTTAAAAGCCATTCATTATAGTATTTTGGTCAACTTTACTACTAAGGAACAGTATAACAATTAGATTTCATGCTTCATGATATCTGCACGCTTCTGGTTGTGACAGCATGTACTCCTTTAGTTAGGAATTTTAAAATCCATCTTACAGATGGACAACCAGCTCTGAAATTGGTATGTTTACCTCAGTTATCTTAAATATCCGCAAGCTAAAGATACATAAAAGCTTTGCTAGATCTGCCAGTAAGAAATAAGATGAAACAGGTGGTAACACAGGCCCACCAAGCAGTCATCCAGACTTGATTGAACTGGAGCATTAGAAAGCAACAAGTGCTTCCTGTATTGACAGTAACTGCATCTGAGGTTGCCAAAGGCCTGTCTACTCCATTCCATATTACTATACAAAGAAAGTTAACAGTCTAAGAAAAAAGTGCTAATTAAACTCCTGCCACTTATCCTCCACTGAGAGTGCATTCTAGAAATAAGCCTCTTTATTGGCTAAGGTCAGAATTAACATGTTTAAAAATACAAAGTACAGTTAAGGCTTGACATTTTTGCCTGTAGCAGTTAAAATTATGTTCCCTAAGACTTTATCCCACCTAAATTTCTCATCTCGAAACTTGCCAAAGAAATTAAACCAAGACTTGAAGTATGATCATCCTCAAAATCTATATGAAAAAGAAACCTAAGCTTGGAATAAACCCAAGATTTTTATGCCAGTAACTTTATGAAGTCATGCCAGACAACTTGTTTTGGCATCTGCATGGTAGCAGGGGAAAACTGTTTAAAGTTGGAAGTTGTGAAACTAGTTACCAAGAAACAGCAGCTTCAGATCAGGTCTGAAGTTTATTCCATTTAGGTTTTTACTTTTGTTTAAATAAGCAGATAGCTGAACTACTTTTACTTTGCATAGTTCTAGCTCATCCTTAGATACACCAGTCAGGCTTTTGCACTGCTACCTTAGTACACTCAGATAAAGTACTTCCTACTGCTAAAACAGACTACTGAAGTTTTTAAAAGTAGAAAGAGACAGTGACCTACAGTCGTCTTACTAGTTCATACTTCCACTTTAAACACTGAAATGCTTTATAGCATTTGACTTGCTGCAGCTTAGACGAGGACATACATCACAGCTTTTCAGTTCTCAGGCCACAAAGATTGCTGATAGTCACACAGCCTGTTAGTTCCAAGAAAGGAATTTCATGAACACTTCCTAGCATTTGTATTCAGGTTTGATTTAAAATGCAGGCAGTAGGCTTCAACTACAAATACCAAGCTCCTCAGCAGCTCTGAAAGGAGATGAATAGGATTGTAATACAAGTTAAGTCTCATGGGGGAGGGAATCCATACATATTTGTGCTTCACAAGGGTCAGTCAATTTTAACTTTAAATATATTGCAGCTGAATAACAAACAGTGACTGTTTTGAAGCTTAAGAATTTCAGCTACATCACTTCTGAAGGGCAGGTGATATGACAAAGCTAGGTTTAGATGCATATCCTGTCAAAATCAAGTCGTCCTAATTTCACTTCTAATTTCATGACCTTTCAGTTAAAAAGGAAGCAGGTAAGTAAATCTTGAATTCATTTTGATCAAGGGATCAAAATGAATGAGAATGGCATCAAGCAAGAACTAAACAAGTAATCCCAATTAACTATAACCTGAGTTACTGAAACTTGAAGACCAGTTCTATTTAATAGCATGCATGTACACCCCACATCAGGAATAAGCTCAGTTTGATATATTTTAAAAATAAAGACCACTGGCAAGATAAATACTAAAATGCATATTAACTTGTTTTATTGAGGCACAACAAGGCATTGTGAATAGCCCATACTTGAGGCAATCGATAGTGTAGTAAGCTGGACATTAATACAGTTTAGGGTAAGTGCAAACAATATACATTCACAGCTTTACTAGCAAGGCTACATCACAACTGATAAAGTGCCAAATTAGTGCTGATTCAGTACCCCAACTCCATGATTTCACCTTGCACAACAGGACCATCACTTCCCCCAATAATGGAACCACATATCTTCTATGAAGTCAGTAGTAAGTGCAAAGCTAGTCCCACCCCCCTCCACCAAGGTGTTTGGAGCAGCTCTTGTAAACATCGCACTGGATTTTAGTCCTGATAAAGGAGGTATCCCGAAAAAGTGGAGTATTTCCAGCTACTTCCATAGATGGCTCCCCGATGCAGACGCAACCAGATCTGATCTCCCTGGAACAGCTGCAGGACCGCATGGTTACTAGCTGTTTCATGATCAGGAGCCCCATCATTTGCATATGCTGACACTAGGACCTCTTCATTCTTCATGAGATTCACATACAGGGGGACATTTACAGCCAGTTTCAGCATGTGGAAGATGAAGACATATGTACCATTCACTGGACAGTTGAACCTACCAAGCTGGATATCAAAAGTTTCTCCAAGGTTGTTCAGCAACAGATCAAACACAATTGGCTGGTCTAGAGTTCCAGGGGCCAAGTTAGATGTTCTAGCGGCAGAAAAGGCAACTCTCATCTGCTGCGGGAGAGGGTAGACGTGCACTGGTAGTATGGTGGCAGCTTGGCTTGTCACTGGCATATCAACAGGGGTGATGCTGCGGGAGTCTCCCTGCCCAGAGTCCCCACTGTTAAAGGTTTCATTGTCTCGTTCTGGACTGCTCACTTGAGAAGAATCACTCCACCCTGCTGTTAAAGATGATTAGCAATGATAAATAAGTATTATAACAGAAGGATACTCTTAAGCCTGCAGACATAATCTTAAGCAGCAAGTGGCTTTGCAATAGATCTTTCAGCTACAGGAAGTTGTCAAAGGACCCCACTGAGAACAGAACTTTGAAGCTGGTTTAATTCATCATTACACTTGCAGCACTGAGCAGGATGGACTAAAATTTAACTATGAACAATGACTTTTCATACTTTTAGGTAGGAGAGGGCACCAGCTTGGAAGAGTTTTAGCTTTAGTATTTGCCACATACACATATTACCATAAAAAAGCATATGCTAGCTTCTTTGTGGAGATAATCTAATTTCTGAAAAAACTGGCAGGGTTACCAAAAGCCACGTAGTCATTTAGGTCACCTTCAAGACCTCTATTTGCACTTCAAGTTACCTCAGTACTGTTCCTCTGGAGCTGCATTCTTAGTAGGTCATATCAACCTATGATGCTGGAATATATTAAGTTTGAAGAACTAGAACTGCTTGTAAGCTTTCTGCACCCTGCTCCCCAAAGTGAAGTTGTTTATCTTTTCAGATATCCAAGTTAAAAGGGTCTACAATGAAAACATTAATAGATCTAAGATTTAAGACAGTTGCCGTCAAGTTTCAAGCCACTTTTTTCCACTGGAAAGGAACACCTTAAGATATTAAATAAAACTAAGTAAAATTGATACTGATACCTCACTGATATCTATTACTGACTTGCCACAATCTCATATTTCTTTTATTTCTCTTCTGAAGTGTATTCTGAGTTCTCCCTGACAGAGATGACCTGTTTTATCCTAAAACTGTTTCCATGATATGCCATCATTTCCCTTTATTCTTCAAAGTAGGGATCTATAGTTACCATTAATCTTTTTCATCTATAGCACTGCTTTTCACCTTTAGTCCAGCTTTTTCCAGCATGTTTTCCAGGATTAAATTATCTTGTTCAGAACTTCTCAAAATACATGCTTGGCTTGAAACAGCTAGTCTTACATATTTCTTTACATTTTGTAAACCTAAACATGGAAGTACAGAGTAAACCTGTATTCTCAAACAAACTTTTTTCTATGAAAAATAGTTATTTTAAGGTTCTAGGATCTGACAGCTTACCCAGAATCAGGCGAGACCGTACAATTAAGGGATGGAGCCAAATGCAACATGGGAACCACCCTGCATTTATTTCCTGGTCAGTTTATTTGTGAAGAAAGTTCAGTGAGGTACCATTGTGTCAGAACTTTGACATGTGAAGACACCAAATTGAGAGGTGAAATTACATCTGCTGCTACGCAATGGTGACTATAAGAACAGTACTTAAACTTTCATCAATATTGGTTAATTTATACCAAGCTTGATCTGTTTGATCAGTAATAGTACACTTTTTCCTCACTAGTCACACTTCAGGATCTGCTATGCCAAGCACATACATGTACCACAGCAACCCTGAGGTTAGCCTTACCTCTTGAATTTGCTCGAGGACCACTAGTTATCCCACCTCGTTTATAGCACTGCTGGTAATTAACATCCTAAGAGGAACAGAAGTATTAGTAAAATTGCTATGAGCAAATCTGAGAGCAAATGGGACTACAAAATAGTATTTTTTCATTTGCACGATTATTTCAAGCTCTAGAAAGACGATGAGGGAGTTCATAATTAAGATGTAGATAAACAGCCTTATTTATTGAAAATTTAATTTCATATAAGCTGTTGTAAAAATAAAGAGCTATTTCAATCTATTCTAGCAAGTTAGCTTCTGAATTGCAGTCAGGTCAGTTCATTGAGCATTACCTTAAATCTCAGGTCTGTTACAAGTCTGTACAGAAGAATATATTTCATTTAAAAGCTGAAAATGCACCTCCCACCAGGAACACCTTTCCTTTCTTACACATTTTTTTAGGGTTTTTTTTTTTTTTACCTAACCAAATTCTCAGTATCCTTTTTAAGAATTCATTATTTTATACTCCAGAGGCATTAAGAACTAACTTTAAAATCCATAGTAAAATGGATTCATTATGCCACATGTTATTTGCCATCTGTTTGCATTTTGAAGATTCCATTCAGACTAAAATCAACCTATCATACAGAGATATCTGTCTGAACTGACTTCCTATTTCAGTTGCTGTCTACTGTTCCAAAAAAAGGGTTTCAACTAGGAAACAAAACTAAACTCTAGCTTGTAAAGAATAGTGCACCTGTTAGGATAATGAAAAGCTACAGTATTAGAAGACTTCTCCCATACAGTGCTCAAGAAGGCTACTGGAAACAAAGTCAATGCTTACCCTCTGAGAATATGGCATTCCAGCATAATCTCTACCAGGGAACTGCAGCTGGCCATAGTTGCCATTAGTTATTGAAGGTGAGCCTCTGTAAGCATCAAAACCTGTTCAAATAAGGTTGATTTTTCAGTAGTATTCATGGTTTGGTTTACAAGTACAAGTCCAGAATACAACTAGAGCTCCCTTTCGGCAGTTGTGTATTACATTATGAATTGCACATCTATTCCTTATTTCAGAGTCCCACTACTCCAATAAAGAATGCATTTTATTAGCTACTCTGAACTATTTAATGCATGTATCAAAATTACATGTTTATAAATATTAACACCAGACCTTAACAATTACCTGTTTGATATTAATGGGACTTGACAGAACAGCTGAAACTTGCTAGAGCCAGAGACAGGATTTAGCTGAAATAAGAAACACTTTCTTTTGCTATTACAGATGGTTAGCTATGATTGTTACACATTTTAGCATATAATATTTAGCATCTTTAGCTATTACACTAGTTACCAAACCCTTAAGTGCTGGTAAATTAGAACTACATAACTCATTCTCTGGTACATGTTCCTACAAGGTGTTGAGCAGTCTCAGCCCAGTAACTGAAACAACTTCTATCATAGACTAAATGCCCTTCCACTTCAAAAGTGGAATCGACCACACCTATCAACAACCTTAAGTTGGTAACTGCTGAGGGTCAGCCAAAACTCTCCATAGTACTTCAGCTAGCAGCAGAATAGCATCTGATTTGGAGAGACCAAGCAATCATTCTCTTAAAACCCTTCAGTTTGTTATTAATCCAAAAGTGCTCTCCACTACTCGGAACCTCTCCCCCTCAATCCCAGTTTCTGCTGGTAATATTAAAGCCAGCAGTACTAAGCAAAGAGCATCTTGTTTGGAGCAAATACTGCAAGTGACATCTGAAGAGAAAATACCTGCCCAGAATGTTTGCAAGACAGATGCGAAGAAAAGAATAAAGGAGGTAAAGAGTTCAGAAGGGTAAACAAAATTGCAAGCTGAAGAGTCTGTACAATTAAATAATTTAATAGCCTATTAATAAAAGTTACTTTCATAATTCAAAAGGCTATGAAATTGCTCTGCCAGTTCACCTGACACGTGAAGTACAGGCTACTTGCTTAAATTCTACAAAGGAAGACCCCAATCTCTGCACATTGCTCAGTCTGTTTTAAGAAGTTTCACATATAGAACTTAATCTAATGTAGTAACACTAAAACATGTTTTAACATAACATGGTATTAAATTTATTAAAGGTGGTAGTAAATACATACATACCTTTGTACCCACCAGGGGAACGATATGAATTAGCCAGTGACCTTCCACCTCTAGCAGATCCTCTGACAGACCCACGACTGTTAATGTAAGGCTGAGGGGGTCTGGGAATGACATTGGTCTGTGCTGGATAAAAGGCAAGGCTACCATTGCTAACAGGAACAGCTCCATCAGGTTGATAATTCACTGCTTAAAACAGAAGGCACAGGTGAATTCAAAGCTTTTATAACTGTAAAAAGTTATCACACCTAGAAGCAAGGGCAGCATTAGGAAGGTCAGATACCGATTAAGCTGTTCTGAATATCCTGTTCTTATGCTCCTTCATTATTCCAAATAAGTGGGGATCCTCCCCTTTGTTCTGCTGAGTGTAATGCTTGTTAAAGTATACTCTAGACAACCCAGGCTGTCAGGGCAAGCCTCTAATGCATTCAACAAGATTCAATTGCCTAGGTCAGAACAAGCTTGCTAGCAACATCACGAAAATAACCAAGCTAGAATAAGATCAAGTAACACCTGATTAAGAATTTTCAGTTAGAACCAACACTGTTCTACTAGCAAGACCTTAGTGGTCTATCTGATAAACTAGGTCACCTCAGTGTCAATGTCCTTCAAAGTGATGAGAGAAACTCAATCTTACCTAGATAGCAATAAGACAACTGTGGAAAGCTAGATATTTGGGTTCAGTCTCTTCAGACATTCCTGCCACATGTTATTAGACAGTTCAACACCAAGCAACAGGTACTCAAGAATGCTTTTCACTCACAGGGTGGTTGAATGGTTAGCTTTAAATACAGACCTTGCAACCATGTGTTTCCACAGGACCATGCTTTGTATCAATCCAAAAAGTTTAAAAACTGATCCAGAGTGACAGTCTAAACCCCTTTCTGAAGTCTGTGCAGAACCACTGCACAAGATTAATAAAAAAGCATGATGTTCCATCAGAAAACTGTATAGAAGGCTGATCACCTGTAGTCTCAGTGATGAGAAGGAATATTCAAGCTAAACATGCTTTCCTGACTGCTATGCTTATATTGTGCCTTGGAACTCTAATCTTCATGTGTGTCACTGACTTTACATGGTATCCGTCTATTTCTACCATAATTCCTATGAAGAATCCTCTGGCAGAAAACCAGTAATTTTAAGTGACCTTGAGTCACTTGATTAGATAGTCTTATAAATCCAGATTCCTAGCTGCCAGCTTCCTTTCATCCTGGAACCTGTTTCAGGCAAATTTAGGGGCTAGTCTCATTTTAAATTCTTAGTGTCAGCTATATAAATTCACCTGGTACAATATCTGAATGTCAAGCAGGTCAGTTGCGTTGAATAAGGCAGCTCAAGACCCCACTTATCGGAAGTTTAGTATTCTTCAGGTCAGACACTCAGACTCAACCAGCTAATAAAGTCAGCATTGGTAAGAAATCAGAGCTATATAAACAGAAGTAAAAGGAGGATTATCTTTTGCTGCAGAGTAGGCTGTCATCAGCTTCCACCTGCTTCAGGCTCAAAGTACATGCATGAACCATTCCTGCAGCTCAGCTGATTCTCAACACATCACTAAATTACACTAACTTGTGATTGAGGCCTCCTAGTTAGGAAATTAGCCTTCCTAGGTAACAAACTAGTGACAAATTTAGGGCTGAATTAGGAACAACATGGATCTCTGCTACAGAAAGCTAGAACTTCAACATCATAAGATACAACTGGAATAAGTAGGAGTGGCAGACATGACCTGTCAGTAACTTGTTAAATGCTTCTCTCTAATATAGTAGGGTGCAATATCCATGTGAAGATTTTGGCAAGTACTAATACAGTCAAGATCAGCCATGTGTTTTACAATAATTATATGTGAGATATAAATTCAAAGGAAAGATACCAGCCCATTCTTTAAACAAGAAAATTCTAAATCCTAAACAGCTCTCAGATGACATTTTAGTCTTGTACTAGCAGCACAAAATACTTATCACTTTGGGTAATTCACCTCAGCAATGAAAGCTTATCCCAACTTTCATATTTAGAATTCTGCAACTCCCAGCAGTACAGCAACACTTGTATCTATTACCAGAGACCAATTTAATGGTTCAAAATTAAGTATGTCATTACCACTTCAATTCCAAGCAAACACTTGACTTACAAGTATCACTGCATACTGGAGTTTCCTCATAGGTGGGAAATATCTTTATCAGGCCTGTAGGTGACACTGTCCATACAGCTAGTAGAAAAAGCAGTTTGAAGCAGCCTTTCATCCTGCTAGCAATTTTGACATTAGGTTTACACACCATACATCAACTCTAACCAAGTTGATGGTAACACTAATGTTAATGGGTGCTACATAAAGATTCAGAATTTCACTGATTTAGAACATGCATTACTCACAGCACATGTTAATGAATTAAAATATTGCTATAACCTGAAGAACTCTGAAGACTACTTGAAATAGAAAGACAAGTACAGTTCTCACCTGAAGACAGAGATTCTTGTGAAAGAGAAGTTTGTTCCGCAACATGAGAAGATTGCAACTGGCATTGAGGAGGAGTCTGTGTACTTGCTGTAGAGAAACTCTGGTTATATCCTGCTGAAAAAAATAATTTCCTGGTCTTTACGTGGAGGCAGTGGTGCATTCACTTTAAATACCTACAACATATTTCAAGACGAACACTTAACACTACCAGCTAAAGCCTCTGCCTAATGCCACTACCATGCTATGCTGAGGTTCAAATACATTTGCCTAGATCAGCTTCTAGAAGACCAACTGTTTTAGAAAGAATCAAGAACATTGTATTTCAACCCATCCTTTTCCTTCTCAGTAAACTTGTATAACGTACTCCTACTTATGTAGGTACTACCCAAGAAGTGTGACTTGATTGATCATAGCTACCATGTTTGGTCAAAAGAGCAGCTACCATACAGTAAGCTATTTTGCTTCAATGGGAAGTCAACCATTGGATTGACTCATTGACTACTTGTCCCTGCTGAAACCAGGACAGCTGTAGGATAGAGTTAATTTTCTTCCTAGCAGCTGGTATAGTGCTAGGTTTTGGATTTAGGATGAGAATAATATTGATAACACACTGATGTTTTGGTTGTTGCCAAGCAGTCAAGGACTTTTCAGCTCCTCATACTGCCCTGCCAATGAGAAGGCGGGGGGCACCCAAGAAGCTGGGAGGGGACACAGCCAGGACAGCTGAACCCAACTGGGTATTCCCTGCCATATGACATCATGCTCAATATATAACTGGAGGGTTGGCTGGGAGGCAGGGCAGCTCAGGAACTTGCTGAGCATCAGCTTCAGGTGGTGAGCAGTTGTGCTGTGCATCACTTTTCTATATTATAATATTCCTTTCCTGTCCTATTAAACTGTCTTTATCTCAACCCACAAGTTACTTTTTTCATTTTTAATTCTCTCTCCCCTCCCAGTGGGAGTGGGGGGGGGGGTGAGTGAACAGCTGTGTGGTTGTTTTAACTGCCTGTCAGGTTAAACCACAACAACAGCTTTTGACCTGAAGCTGCAACAGCCTACACTGAGATGAGATACTCATTTGGGAAGAATATGGGTCTTGCTACACATCTTGGAACCTGATGCAACTCTACTATCCACTCATAAAATACCCTATTAGACAGCCTTCACACCTTTGATAAGAAAAGGAAAGTTGAGGCTCAATTTAAGTTCCTTTAGAGCACACACGTAACCTAAGTAACAGAGTATTTAATTCAAATTTTAATGTTACAGTCTGGGCAGTAGGGTGTTGCACAGATATTACTGTTAAATCTAATCAGAGTTCTGTCACTCCAGTGACTGTATTGCTTTATAGCCAATAACCCCATTACCACCACTGATGCTGTCAAGTGACAGCTAGTATCAAGCTCAAGTAGGAAAGACATCTGAGTAAAAGGATTTAAATTTCACATAAAAAGCTGTCAGCAGTACTGATACTAAGTCTAGAGGTGTATCTAACCATTTTCCAAGACTAAACTGTCTGAAGACAGACCAGGGCAAGACTAACTACAGCTAGATGCAAAGAACAGCTTGACAGTTCTTGTCATTTGTAGAAGCCTCTAATTACAATGGGGAATGAACACTTTTTCCAGGGTCAGAAAGCCAAGTATTTCTTCTAACAGGGAGCCAGCAGAGAAACACTTCATGATACTGAGGCACTGCATATAAGCTTGAACCATTAGAAAACACCACAAATTCTGGTTCCGATTTACCAGACGAGTGATCACAGCGATCCAAAACAATCCTCTTTCTGAAAGAAATTTGAAGATGCTGTGCAGTCAGGCTGTCAACACCCACATCCTGGACTTTTTGTAGCAAGTGGTTTACTTCTGAAGAGTAAGTGTTACAGGTGGAATTCTAATGAGAGTACTTGGGCTACAGGTAGGATCTGCCTTTAAGCTTCCATAAGCACAGTGGCAGCAATAGGGTGTTCAGACATCCAAGGACACATCAGAGGCTTCCATTACTGTACTACTATTTGGCAAGAAACCACCTGACTCCTGGTGATCTACTGAAATCCAATGGCAGTGCTTTCCTGGCAGCAATGAGAATCTAAGCCATGCAGGGAAGAAAATCCTGCACTGCAAAGTTAAAGACTGCCACCACTACAAGAGGTATTAATATCATAGCAATTTAGTGACAGTTGTTTGCCAGTTTGACCCAAAAATCCCAAGAGACATCTTGAACATTTAACATCTGAAAACAGCATAGCACTAATTCAAGTGAACTTTCAATGATACCATTTTGATCAAAAGCACTCTGAACACAGGTACTAGGTTCAGATATAATCAGAATGACTGAGACCAAGATTCCATATTTATATCATGAGATTGCTTATGTTTAGACTTGGCCCCAGACAGACTCTTGATTCCTTGATCATAGCATGCTGCTATTTCTCTACTTTCATGAAAGATCATCACCTAGCCACTTAGCATAATTTAAACAGATTTCACTTAGAAAGAACCACCTCCCTACCACCACCTGCCTTGTTCATAACACATATAAAAATTCTGTACCTCTAAGGAACGTTCTACTCAAACCTCTTCTACAAATACAGAAAACCAAAGAGAAAGTCATGGTGGCAATTACTACAGCCCACACCAGGATGTCATAGATGTTTTAGTCATTAATTTCTGTGCTTTTAAAGGCTATTGCTATCTTCTTCCACCAAATCCTACTACATATGTCTCAACACTGCAAGATGCAGATTGTCCAGCAAGTTGTGGAACTGCACTGGTACATTTGTTAAAATGGAGAATGCCTTTGGAGAATCTCAATGACCTCTAAGCTTGCTTTTGAGCAAGAACATTAAATGAAGGTTTCTAGCATCTTCTGAAGAAGGTATCAGAGGAGTAGATAAGCCCAAGTACAGGGAAGGGAATGTTAACAACTAAATGGAGATCCTTCTTCTGAGTCCCTTTAAGCTTGCACTGCAGATTACAAGACAGTAGCAACGTTAATAATGTTAGAGAACATTAGTAATGATGTATGGCCTGAAAAAAATAGTATTATTTGCAAGAAACACCATTCAGTCCATATGGACTATTCCCTAGACATCTGTATCAACTACTTGTTAACAAGATAGGATAATGAGCTACACCAGTCTATCAAGGACACATTTTCCATCATTCCAGTGGACTGAGTTTTACTCCACTAAAGCAAACAGTTTAAAAGCAGCAAGACAGGTTCAGGCTTCAGCAAGCTTTTAGTGGTAACAGCTATACACTTCAGGATTCCCTCTCTCCTCTGCAGTCTTTATTATTTTAAATCTATGCAAAAGAACAGTTTAAGTAGAGTCAACTTTACCTTGGGGCACTGCTATAAATCTGTTTATTTCAGGTCTGACTTCACTCTTAGTTCCTTGAAGCTACTAAGATATCCCAGTATAGATTTTTGGACTATACAGAGCAAAGCCAGGATCTCTATTCTCAGGTGATCTGGTTTAAGTTCTGAAGGCATTGGAGAAGCAGAGTTCTAATCTAGGTTTGTAACATTAAAACATCAAGATTATCTATCAAGTTCTGTACTTTATCAAGGGGAGCCAGTTCCCCAGTATTAGGGCTAAGTTATTAGCATTATTGTCAGTTGTTCTTCTGTGGCCTCAAGTTGCATACTTACAGTCTGCATAGCCTGAAAGGGAGCTGCTGTTATTGTGACAGAACTGCTACTTGCTGGAGGAGACTGAAAGCTTTGCGCTGGTGGTACTGGCGACATGGAAGCGCTTGAAGTAGGTAATGGTGACTGTGGCTCACTTGGGAGGGGAATAGTTGCCTGAGGGAAGAACAAATGTGATGGAAGGTCACTTGATAGTTATCAGGCAGTAACAGAAGCAGTTAATTTGTTCTAAAGCCTAGACTGACAGAAGTCAGCAGTTTCTACAGGATGACATTTGGACATAGTAGAGCTACAAAATAGCTTTTGCTTACAATTTCAAATCTTGCTGTGCATTCTCAGCAAACAGTACTTCTATTGCAGTCTCTGCTGATTAAGTGAAATGTGTCTATGTGCTACTATACATACCACTCATTGTAATAATTTCACAATAAAGAGACATAGGTATTTTTCCCCACCACTACGGAAACACAGAACACCTTCTGTTCCATTTATAGGAAGATGATTCTCTGGCTGATATTAAAAGTGACTTTTCCAAAGGAACTTAGGAAGTTTGTGGGGGTTGATTTTTTTTTTTCCCCTCCTAACCTAATTATGTTTGAGATTAAAAACTATGCTGAGTTGTCCAGACAAAGCATTAACCAGCATTAAGTCTCATCTGTGCAGATAGCAAAATGAAGTGTTGATTTAGAATATCAATATTTGTAGGAATCAGAAGTCAAAGGGAATGTGAGGTTCTAGACACATTTCAGTAGCCAATATATTTACCTTACCAATATTTGTGATGGCTCACCTGGGCAACTTCAATCTTTTTAGGTATCAGTGGCTCAGAAATACGTGTACTTGTCTGATACAGTGGCTGAGAAGTATATTTCTCAGTCTCTTGAGAAAGTGATGCTGATACCTAGAAGAAGCCATACATGTATCTGCTATTACAAGTATTGCAGAAAGAACAAAGTTCTGGTAGAGCTATGAAATAACTAGTGCATAAGTTGAAACAAGTGGATTTTAAAAGACCCTGACAAACATTAAGTCCAAAGTAAGTGTACCAGATAGTCATCTTAACTAAAAGCTTCAAGTAAATAGCTTTAGAGATTCAGACTTGATTACCCTCCTTACACAACAGGTTGTACAACTAGCTCTGTAAAGTCAAGTAATTTTAAGAACTGTAGATTGCTTCCAGCAGCTATTTACAATCAAATCTGCAACACACACCCATCTCACTGAATTAAATGGAAAGACATGTCTGATGTTAAACTTCTGGTAAGCTGTTGAACAAGGCTTCAGAGCCACACTTTGGTTTGCCTTTGTGTTCTATAATTAGCTCACACTTGTGATACTAAGTTTAAGAGTCACTGTCCTGGTTTTGGCAGGGATAGAGTTAATTTTCTTCCTAGCAGCTGGTATAGTGCTGGGTTATGGATTTAGGATGAGAATAATGTTGATAACACACTGATGTTTGTTGTTGCCAAGCAGTCAAGGACTTTTCAGCTTCTCGTACTGCCCTGCCAATGAGAAGGCGGGGGGCACCCAAGAAGCTGGGAGGGGACACAGCCACGACAGCTGACCCAAACTGGCCAAAGGAATATTCCATACCAAATGACATCATGCTCAGTATATAACTAGGGTGTGGGCCATGAGGCAGGGCAGCTTGGGGTCTTGCTGAGCATTGACTTCAGGTGGTGAGAAATTGTGCTGTTCATCACTTGCTTTATCATCATCAACTTCCTTTTCTGCCATACTAAATTGTCTTTATCTCAACCCACAAGTTTTATTTTTTTCATTTTTGATTCTGGGGGAGGTGTGAGCAAACAGCTATGTGGTTGTTTTAGCTGCTAGCCAGATTAAGCCACAACAGTTGCTTATACTTAGATACACAGCCTAGAGCTAAAGACCACCAGTCCCATCCTCACCATTATACCATCACAGCTGCATCAGATAGAGCTGCACTTGCATACTAGGAAAGTGCACTGTCACCATGGGATGTATTCCCTGGTTGTGCTGGGATCAAACAAAGCTTATCTACTGCTTTCCATGAGAAGCAGGACTGGAAAAGACAGGCACCACACTTCAAGTCTAAGAGACTAGGGATATGCTGGGCACAAGCAACCCTAATTCCAAACAGGAAGTTTGCAAAAAACTCAGAACATTCTACTAAATTAGATGTTCTACATTATAGCACAGCACAGGTCTTCTGGATGCATATTAAACAGCCAGATTATTTAATCCTTGTCAGCACAAGTCTTATGACACTGTAGAAGTGAGAGAAGGTGTCAAGAACCAGGCCAAAACTGCTGATTCAAGAGGCAGCAAGACTGTAATATCCTTGTCAAGACTGTTATATTCAACTATACAGCATATTGAGGAATAGAGTAAATGCTACACGCAGAGTATACTGATAGCATGTACATCAGCAAAAAACATTCTAAAAACATGAACATTTTCCCATTATAATCTACATATAATCTATTAGAGAGTCCAACAGGCAAGACCCAGCTGTGTTCCTCAACACAGCAACACTTAGCAAGAGATCTTTAAGACAGTGATCTGCATAAATTGAAACACTATTTTCAGCTCTAAACCATATTTGAGTGTTAGCTGAAGATTTAACTGCACATAAATACAGTTAAGAGAGCAAAGTCTGAGGTCTTAGCTGAATATCGGGAAGTCACATTCCCAGTATTTCTTCAGTTAGTGCTTGAGAGAACACATCTCAATCTTCAGCTCACACAGAAGTCTGCTATTTCATGACAATACCTATCCCAATTTATGCATCCTCTGTGTTGTCATTAGAGGGACTATCTACACCATAACCGAAGCAAATATTTATGCTGCTCTTATGTTCCCACAAGAATATGCACCACACTTTCTAGCCAGCATTTTTCATCCCACACCCTTCCCATTTCAAGAGGCAGACTGTTCACTTTGCAGTCATGCAGTATTAGGAAGACTTTTCCATCCACCTCTAAGTATTCCAGAACATAGGCTATACTATTGCTGTTACTTGCATCCTGCAGCTGTATATTGTTCAAGATAGTTATTCAGGAAAGGCCTCGCCACAGCTTTCTGTTAGGGCTGGCTATTGCACAGATCTTTGAATGCCAGTGAACCCCAGGGGTATTACCTGTGGTGTCTGTGGTGTCACCAAGTCTTCAGTTTCGGAGCCAGAAAGAGTCTGATCAGCAGATGCTAAGGAAGTATTTGAACCATGCAGTGTCATGGATGAAGCAGCAGCCTTGCACGAAGAGAAAATTGGGATAAGGTTTCGAAGAATTATCTTAAATGTTTGGTTTCACTGAAACCCATACTCTGGGCATTTCCAAGTAAACCTCAATGAGGCAAGAGCTGAAGTGCTTTGACCAGTTAGTCAAAGTTTCTTAGGAATTTTTGTTAGTGGCAAGGAAACCTATTTAAAAGCCAATGTAGCAAGACATGCACACACAGTAAGTGAATTTAAGATTCACTTAACCATGGCTGCCAAAGCTTGAGACACTGTATAGTTTGGCTTAAGTGAGGATCTCTAAGATGAAGACATGTACTACCTCGGAGAAAAAGCAGCATGTTCTCCTGCACACAACTATTAGCTATGACTTGAACCTATGGGTTAAATATTCAAACTATTTCAGCATGTCTTCAGCAGTGGTTTACTTCAAGAAGTTTCAAACATTTGTTGCTGCTTTTCAAGCAGAAGAGCAGCCAGCTTTGTCAGCATTTGAGCTATCTCAGACTTGCAAGCTACTAAGTTATACGAAATTTGTTAGAAAACTACTTACAATAAGAAAACCAATTAAAGTACTAAGTCTATTCTAGTGAATAACCTCTGTATCATTCCTTGGGTCCAACTCTGCCTCTTCAGGGCAGTCCTAACTTCAACTTACTTGAAGGGGCTGTTGGAGAAAATCACTCTGACTTGGCAGTTTCTGTTCTTTTGAAGCTGTAAAAAAAAGAATGTGTTAAGCAACATTTACTTTTAAATGCAAACGTTACATATAGTTTTAGTGTGCACTTCTACTTTTTGAAAACGTTTGGTGTATGAAGATGCACACTATTTTTAGCATATACAGTATATTTAGATATCTATAATTAGACTTAGCATCAGTAAACTACACCCAACTGAAAACTTCAGTTTCTTTTTTGTAAAAGGATGGGTACTCCCACTTTCCAGATTAAAAAACAATTAAATATTTAATAAACTGGGTAATTGCGATTTACAGCTCAGAGCCACCCAAACAGTTTTAATGTGGCCCATTGTGGAATGTTCCAGTTTAAGCACAGCTAGATAACTACTCTATCCTGAGCTCATTCACAGCTTGTGGTGTATATACACCACATCTAGATGAGTTTGTTACACAGATACAGCATGTCAATTCTGCACCTGGTTTTAGATGCACATGCCAATCAGTGATTATACAAGCATTCCATTTCCAGGCAGATATACCAACTTAAGCCACCTCCAGCAACAAATAAGCAGGTAAGTGGCTTGAGCTGCCTTTTTTTAATCAGACCTTGATATTCTTTATAATTAGACAAGCTGCCTTCACCATGCCTACTTATCTACAGCCCAAGCAAACCCTATTAGTGCTTGCAAAAGCTGACATAGAATTTATACATACAGTGTTACCTACCTACAGGACTACTTGCTGGAGTAACTGAAGGTGGTTGGGATGAACCAATGGCACTTGGTGAAGCTTTATCAAATTCCAGAATGGACTCCTTTTCAAAAGAGATTGTTTGGGAGAAAAAAAATTGAACTCTAGATACAAATGAAACACTCATCTGACAAGTTGCTGTTAGCTAATTAGAGCTAGATTAATTCATTCACTGCAAACACATTGTCAGCACTGTTTTCCCTAACTCAGTAGGAATTGGAGCTTTGTGCTACAACAGCAGAGAAAAACATACTTGCATGAAGTTGTAAGTCCCTTGTATCTGAGTCATCAGATCCTGAAGTTTTTCCCTTCTCAATACTGGATCTTTTGGAAGAGTTGAAGTAGAGCAAAATTCAGCAGCTGGCTGATGTACAGGTTTAGGCACCTAATAAGGAGAAAAGATATTAAATCTGGAAGCAGACGAGCTGCCTTATCCAATATAATTCCAGAGCAACCTACAGGTCAAACACCATGAGCCAAGGAATTCTGTGCTGTTATTAGTATTTCCTGAATTAAACTTTCACTTCATTAAAAAAATCAGCTTATTGTTGTCACAACTAGTTAAGCCACAGAACTAATTCACTTCATTCAGTTTTACAATACGTACAGAAGACAATAAGCTGCCTGCATTTAGTGTAAAATTAGGCACCTCCATCTAATGAAACCCACATATTGAAGTTGAAGGCCAGAATAAACTTAAAAATCAAAGCTGCACCACTCAAGGTTTCAAACATACTTCCTCCCAGTAGAGCCCACGCCAATAAGTACAGATCTTACTAGGATGGCATTTCCAGGTGTTCTGAATAAACTGTACATAAGAGATACATTGCAAACAGGTTACTCAAGATTAGACCAAAGTGCTCCCATTAACAAGCCAGATACTCCCAACGCACCAGGCTCCTGCAGAAAGTATTACACTAAACTTTTCAGTTTGGCATGAAAATACACCTGTGTTCCCACATGGAAACCTAACTTTACAGCTAAACAAGGACTTCTGCAGGGCCTTATTACTCCTTGATTCAGATGGTCCCTTAACAGTTCAACACAACCAATTTTCACTTCAAAAGAGGGAAACATTATATCCAAGAATAGGCAAGTCTAAGGTATTAGAAAAATCATGATAGTAGACTCCTTCAATAGCAGAAGCCCAGTTATTTACAGAACAATAACAGACTGTCTAGAAGTCTAACATGTCTTTTGAAAGCAGCTTGGGAAGAGGTATGCTTGTTAGAAGTATTTTAAACCCACAATTTTTAGTGATTCTCTAAAGCTTTGCTGTTCTTATGTTTGTCTGTGCAGCTAGAGGGAGGCAAGTCTGGAGACATTAAGCAGTTGCATTATTTCAGCTGGCCCAAATGTTGAGACACAGGAACATGTGAAAGCCTTTAATTTCCTACAGTACAAACATTTGTCCTTCTAATAGGAGATTACTCTTTCAATGCACAGTATAGTGGTATAGTTGAGTATTTGTATGAAGTCATTAGAAGACTACATAGCTGAAGGGTATGTGTCATGACATTTAATTGTCACATTAAATTCAAAACAAATTGATGAAATGCTCTTTGTCCAGTTTAAGGACAACAAGCCCAAATACACTCTCACATTTCCACTTCAACAGTTATCTGAAACAAATCACTAGCATCTACAGAAATTCCAATAGCATGCACAGGGAAGAAACTTGCAGGGTTTAGCATAATCCATGTACATGCAGCACATCAACTCTGGAGGACTCAGTCATGGCCCACACAACAGTTACTTGTTGAGCTGTGAGAAGTTTTACTTTATACTACTCTATCTTAACTAGAATTTCTGATGCACAAGCACTACCTTTAACTACTGACTACGCAGGTTTATATTGTGTATAGTTTCCAATAATGAACAGGAACTAAAGCTGTTAAGGATGTAAGTGCAGGACAACAGATACAGTTGAATAAAGTTAATCTCAGTTTTAGTTAAATCTCATAGTTAATTATAGATTAAGTTACTAGAATCTGAATCTTCCTGTCCATCACTATTACCCCTTACTACAAGCAAACTTAATCTTAAAACACTTGCTGTCATGGTAAATTCAATATGGGTCAAACTGATTAGTGCTTCTATTAGCCTGTTCCTCCTCACCACAATTTACCAAGACACAAGTACATTACCAAGCTAGTTCTGTATGTTGGCAAATGGGTAACAGAAGCTTTTCACCTTTAAGTCACCTAACCAGGTCAAGTCTGGCAGTGCCTAAAGCTATAAAGATCATCTACTAGCTACATAAGACTTGTACATTAAACACAAACAAGTAAAAACAGCCCCAAGAGCATGGAAACAGAAGAGACTGCAGTGTTTTGCTTGTGGTTGCAAAGATGATACAGTCTTCTGTATGCTTTTACAGTTTGTTAGTCTTCATCTCCTTCCCCAGGTCATACGCTGTGCATTATGCTGGTAGTATTCTTTACTTCAACTAAAAGAGCAAGCATACAGGGTTACATATATGTTATTAGGGCTTTAAGCCAGGATTGAAACATTGAGACTCTCCATTCTGTAAAAGTTTTCTAGTTCCTGCATATATATATTAAAATACACCAGCCAGAAGTAGCTACAGTGATATTACCTCATATTGACCTGCTGTCTTGTCGGTACTTAGGTACTCAGAACTGGAATATTTAAATGCAATACAGAGCACATACGAAAAAGCATCAGAAAGTTAAGTACTTCAGGTGTTATGCCTTTATAAAAGAGATGCTTTGAAAAAAAGTAGGTACTTGACATCCTTATGATGGTTTGAAACCAAGTTTTCTTTCTAGCCTACAGTTAGATGCTGTTTCTGGAAGTCACTACAAGCTGGTAGCAGATTTGAGTTTGATGTGAGCTGGGCTAACAAATTATTGAACTTACACATGCTGAGATTACTTAACACTAGTGGTTCAAGCAACATTCAGGTTAGTTTTACACAGTGCTGGTAAGTTGAGGGTCTAAGCTGTCAAGATAATTTTCTTAAACTGAACTGCAGTACTACTTATGCATTCAGCAAAAAACTGTTTCAACATATATCCAGAGAACTGACTAAAAATGAAGTTGAAAAACTGAGAATTTGTTTTAGGACCTGTTACACCATTGCAAGTAAACCAATGTAAAGGCACACAGACTTCAGAATTTTACTAGTCAAAATGCCAATATACTAGGTACTCCTGTTAAAGCTTGATTTTTTTTTTAGAGACTGTTATGTCTATTCATACATAATACTACTCTAACATACATGTCAGCCACCTCATATACTAGTAAAACTCCATGCTATGATACAGGACCTCAATTCCTCTTTAGGTTTCTAGCTGTGGAGTACTAAATGAGCTGGAACAGTGATACCTAAGCTGTAATCACAGTGATCACCAGCTGTGCCATGTAGATACACAATTAACATTTGCTTTCTACTCAGAGCAGCATTCACAGCAGGTACGAATTAAATGGTACTGGATGACAGCAAAAGCCAAAAACTGTTTTGCTTTCACATAGCAGGCCACAAATTCGGCTCTAATGAGGTTTGCTGGTCCACAGGTTGCACAAACAGAGTAACAGTTTAACAGGCCTGCACATCACCTCACTGCTGCCACTGTAGGCTCAACTTCTTAGGTATTGCACTTTATAGTACATTAAGTTAATAAGCACATTTTAAGATCTCAAAAATCAAGCAGTTTAAAGATGTCTCAGAGCTCTAACAGTTATTTCAGGAAGTAAAGGGTAATTTCAGCTCTGGAAAGCAGTAGTAGTGACATAGGCCTTTTATCTACCATGCCTATGGTAGATAGATCCTGTAAAAGGTCATTTATAGGTTCTCACTGAGGGTGAGGTAGATCCAGCTATAGCACTGTCCTGCCAAAACTAGGACAAGCACTGCATTGCCTCTTCTTTCTTCACATAAGCAAAGGCAAGACAAGTTTTAAAAATGTTTTTAATTGCTCTTTATATGCACCTCAAGTCAAATTAGGATATTTGTTTTTTAAAAAGTGGTTATGGAAATGAGGTAGGTTGACAGTACACTATTATTTACTCATTCAATATACTTTTGATATTAGGATTTGTCAATAGCTACTAAGCAAAAATATAGCCAGCTGGTGTTTCACTATGGTCTACTATGTAAATCAAGGTTTGTATACTTTAAAAACATGGTTTACTTAATTCAGCAACCCAGCATTAATTTGGCTGACTTGCACACCTGTGCATTACTATGAAGACTTCTAGGCAGTTTGCAAGTTTCTCCAACTGACTGGAGACCCTCCTTTTTCCTTACGGCATCAAAGTTTTGTCCACCATTACTGAAGCCATCCATCTCCCCATTCTATACAAAAATAAGAGTCCCATCTCATTAGAAAGCATCCTGCATTTAAGCTTTCAGTTAATCTGAACTAGAAATTCCAAGGCATCTTAAAGTGCTTGAAACTATTCCAGTATATGATAATTTCAGTTACATTAATACTACATATAGTTGGGTGCAAAAAACCTACTTGTGCTCAGAGCTACTTAGCGTGAGGCGACCAGGTTTTGTAGCTGTACCACCACCAGTGGACACAAGATTCTACTCAGCTTAAGTGTGAAGATGAATCAAGTTGAAACACCTTAATCCCATTTTGTTACCAAGTGGTCCATGTTACCTACTCTTTTAATTTCATGTTCAGCCTTCTGTTTGCGTTCCCGCTTCTAGGCACAAAAATTTTTCGGTTACGCCAAGTTTACTGACAAGATTTAAGCTTAATCATTTGCTATGAGTAATATGGAATGAATTGATTTCTGCTTTCTTGCAGAAACATAGTAGTGCTAACATTCTGTACAAAAGAATTGCTCAATTCCCCATATTTTCTTTCTGAAGTCTAACTCTAAATTAAACACTCTTCTTAATGACATAACTGAACTCTGCTTTGCCTATTATCTTACCTATTCAGAATTGTTACTATCCAAGCACAGGCGAGAAAGAAGGTAATACAACCAGAGGCTAGCAGCCTGCTCAGCTGTAAGCCCTGCAATAACTTTCATTTTACATTTCTAAAACAAACTATGCTATTGTTAGACTCTCCAGAACAGCAGTATGGCTTATGCATTCATCTGGAAATACATATTTAAGCCCCTGTACAGTTTGTATTGCTTGATCTAGACGTTAAATCTCTCTTGAATCAGCAGCTATTTTAATCAAAAGCCTAAAAAATTACTGAAGTGCTATTTGCATGCAGCCACAGACAAAGTATTTGATCCCTGGATGAGTCATACCTGCTTTGTACTGATAACAGTGGACAGAGCCAATAGCTGGGGATGAACTAAGTTAATTCTTCTGTCTTAGGCATAAAGCAGTTATTCAAGGCTCAAACATAGCAATACTGCATTGATGTAAAAAGCAAAGCAGGCCGTCTTGCTATTCATATATAATGTTTAGTTGCCAGAATTATTTCCCCCAAGGAAGAATGAAATTGGAGTCTAAATACAGGCCTACAAAACGCACCTAATAAAGCCTCTGCCAATAGGTAGCTTTAGTCCAATAAACTACTGTGAAAAAGCTTATGACAGGTAATACTACATATGCCAACTCACTTCTTTGGGTTCCATATCAAACTTCTTTGGCCCCATCTGCTCCTTTGGCCCAACACTTGCAGCTCCCCAGGACTTCGGAGGGTTCTGTAACTGCTGTGATGACACTTGCTGCTGCCTGTCAGCTTTTTCCCAAGCCTCTCGAGTCTCCTGCTTCTTTTGTTCTGGCTCCTCCCTAACATGTGCAGCCCAAGCCTTCACAGGCTCCTGCTTCTTTTGCTCTGGCTCTTCCCTAACAGGCATTTCCCATGATTTCACAGGCTCTGGCTTCTTTTGTTCTGGTTGCTCCCTAGTTTGGGTTACCCAAGGTTTTGGAGATTCCTGCTTTTGTTCTGGTTCTTCCTTAACCTTGGTTACCCAAGGTTTTGGGGGCTCCTGCTTTTTCTGTTCCTGCTCTTCCCTAGCTTTTGCTACCCATGGCTTAGGCGATTCCTGTTTCTTCTGGTCCTGCTCTTCCCTACCCTTTGCTACCCAGTGCTTGGGGGACTCCTGCTCCTCTCGGACACGTGCTACCCAGGCCTTTGGAGCTTCTTGCTTCTTCTGTTCTTCCTCCTCAACACGGGTCTCCCAGGGCTTTGTAGACTCACACTTCTGTTCCTCCTCTTTAACACGAGCTTCCCAAGGCTTTGGAGAATCTGGTCTTTTTGGTTCTTGCTGCCTAACACGAGCTTCCCAAGGCTTCAAAGTCTCTTGTTTCTGCTCTTCAATATCAACAAGCATTTCCCAGGACTTTGGAGGGTCTTGCTTTCTAGGACACTCAGGTTCCCAAGATTTGGGCTCTTCTGGCTTCTTCTTGACAGAGTATTCTGCTTCAGGCAAATAACGCCTGTTGAGAAACTATATAGACCAAAGAAACTTAATGGCTCCCAAGAAAACATTTTGCTACTACAGTTCAGGTCAGTTAAGTTAGGTCACCCAGCTACTGAAAATTTCTGACTAAAAGCAGAACCTAGACAGTTTAAGCACTAGCCATAGAAGCTATGTAGACAGCCATGGCTTTATCCTACAACACTGCAGACTAGCTGTGCTTGGCATGCCACAGAAGCACAAAACAGTCCTGAACAGCACAACTGACACATACTTGAGCTGAGTGAATCTATTGCCCTTATCCTCAATGCTAACTGATGTTCCTAGGCAGTGACAATATCAAGTTCAGGTGTGATTCTTATAAAGGCAGCTCTCCCCCTAAGCATCTAAAATGCTCTGTGGTATTATATTAGGAGACATTCTGCTAAGCATAGGAGCACCATCTCCCCCAAAAATCTTTGGCCCAATAACCAAGTATATCCCTCATTCTTAGAGTTTAAGTACTAAAAAGTCACCAGATTCTCAGATTTAGTACCACTGGGCTTCAACAACTCCAGGCTGCGTTTACTATCAAGAAGTTTGAGAGTTCAACAAAGATGTCCTGAAGTTACCACTGCCATATGCAGGAAGTAAATATACAAAGTGAAGAATGTACCAGGCTCACTGTCTGAGATTTTTTCTGACAAGTCAGCAGAAAAGCTTTAGAGTCAGGTAACAGCATTACCAGTAGGTTACAAAAACTTGTTCTAGAGTACACCCTCTAGTGGGATACATAGGAAATAGGGATTCAGCATTTTAAGAACCAGTATTTCCACTTACAAAAGGACACCCCTCCTCCCCATCTTTTGAACCAAGTCAAAAGTTTGGTTTTTATACTGTTGCCAGTTGAAGCTCGAGTACTTAATTCAGGAGTCTGAGGGCTGTTGAAAGAGGTGTGCATGCAAGTCTGTTTTGGAATTCTTACTTTTCTGACAAACCAGAGCAAGACCTACATCATTCTCAACCTCACTAGTATCAAGCCTACTGCAATAAGCTTAGCTTCTAGAGACAGCTTTAGTAGATGCGTATTTTCTCTAATCCATAGTACACAAAAGATCAGTGTGTTTCCACTCTAAAGGTTGATGCTTTGGTTTATTCAGGAAAGTACCAGAGCATTAAAGTACTATACTGCTTCATGTAATGCTGCCGCATTTATCCCAAAATACCCAAGAGAAGCCATAACTTTAGGGTTAGAAATAGAAATGCAACCAAGTCTTTAATGCTTCCTACATAAAGGAACACCTAAGTTGCTGTTCAGACTCCCTTTTTAAGTTAAGAAGGGCTGTAGAAGTGCAGTTATGTCTCTGATAAATCACAATACTAAAAGGAAAGCAATTAGCAGTGAGTATCTTACCTCCTGTGGTTGTATTTCAGACTTCATAAGCTCCATAATGGATTCTAGAGAAAGGATGTTAATTTGTTTCAACTGATCAGATGCAGAAAGGCAGACCAAACAGTAGCAAGTCTTTAATTCTATTTAAATATAGTAGTGCCAGTTGCTAAACCAGATATTCTGAAAGCTCAGCTTGTCATTTAACATACTATTTTTAGACAAACTTTTATTTTCTGATTCAGTTTTACATTTGCAGAAGTCTAGAGTTAAGCAAGAAACATTTTGTAGCATCTATAATTTGATTATTGTTAATATGTAACAAAAACAATTCTCACATCTTCAACATGGAGACTTGCTCAGAAGGCATAAACACCCTATTACTATAAATTAGATTTTTCTACATTATTAGCCAGACTAAGGCTGTAAGCCTTTGCAGGTTCCATTTTAGTTACTACATTGCAAGTAAACTACAGCACCGGATTAGATTTAGCATCAAGCTATGCAAAGTCAATGCTCAGTTAAAGCTTATCTCAACATTATGATACATAGATTGAACCCTGTAATATTCCACCTGGTTCTTTGACAGACTCTCCTTTTGACATCTGCCTTGTTCTCTCAGATTTTCTATTTACTTCTTCTTCCAATTCTTTTACTGGCACAGCGGTGCGAGGAGTTGGAATACTTTCAAAGTAGCCAGAGTCTAGAAGTTTGGATAACAGGTCCTTCATGTGTTTATCTGAAGAGTAAAAATCCATGAAGTTAAGATGTGAAAATCTGAAATTAAGGGTATTCAGATTACTCCTTACTTCCTCCCTCTATATAAATTGCAACTTCAACTCACACATCTTACCAAGTTATAGCAATGAAATGTCTTAGTAAAGGAAATATTTGTTAAACTGCTTTACATATTACAACTGAAAACATCTCTGCTATCCAGGGGTAAGACTGCAGCTTGTGTTTAAATGCACACAAGGTAAACACTGAGCCACCTGGTCTCCCACATGCGTAGAAAGGGATTTGTTTACCATCTATAAGCTAGCCAGCATTGATACTAAAAACAGTTGTGCAGACTGCAGCATAGGTAAAGCTAAACAAAGTCACTACGGGGCTACCCTGCAAGACCCACTTCCCAATGATAGGATGGTAAGTCTCAGAAGGAAAACTTAACTGCAAAAACAAGCAGGGAGGGAAAAAAGCAAGAGACTGTTCCAGACTGAACTTAATCCTCTGAAGTTCTGCAAAAGAGTCAAAGCTGACACGGTTGAAGGAAAATTAACTCTCTACTCTGAGACGCACTGTCCAGTTTCCTTCTTCATGCAAAAAAAGGAGACAGCAGCTTAGCATGTAAGACCTCAGAAGCAGTAGTGACAATAGAAATTGTTTCAGAGGAGCTAGAGACAGGGCAGCCTTGAAAACCGGAAGAATATTCAGTGAAAGATCACTTCTACCAGTGACAGCCATATAAACAAGGGGAGTAGCTAAAATTTAATATGGATATAAAAAATTGTCTTCCAAGGCAATAAACACTAATAAGAAGTCATAACAGCTTTATCTGAAGTTTAGCTTGCACACAAAAGGATGCAAGACTAACACTAAAGGGATATAGATACTGACAAAAAATAGTCACAAGAATTGTTTAGATGATAGCCAAAAAGCTACAAGAGTTTGGAGTCCAGGATAACTAGGCAACTATCAATTCATGTCAACAGATACAAGGCTAAAGTTACCAGCCAGTAGCGATACAAGGCCAGCTTGCACTTTGTCCAGAACCATATGAGAAGAGTTAACACTTAGTTGTCAGTTCAGCTATCTGAATGTTGAAATTACATAGGGTACATTAGTGCTCTGGTCTAACAGTTTCAATTAACATTGTCAATGACAAATGAAAGATTAGTGCCACACAGCCATTACAAGTTTGAAGCAGACAAGACAAGCAAGGTCTGTTTGCAGCAGGAAAGACACTACAACTCAAGTAAGGACAGTTTCCTCATAAGCAAGTTCTTATAGTTCCTATAAGCAACAGGAACACAGAATGCATATGTTGGCTTACAACCAAGTTTTTTTGAAACTAAGCCACAGATGGAAGAAAAATATCTGGCTTTGACAGATTTTGGTGTGCTCAAAAAGTAAGGACACTTGTAACAGGCCAAAGGAAAACTGTGCATGATTAGAGATCACAGCAAGTTCCATTAATGACTATCCCTCCTTTGTGTTGTATCCTTTACTGTAGTCAGACAACAGGTATGAACCTGGAATTGCTAGAAGAGGAAAGAATTTTCAGTGCTGTGGGACCTTCAGCCTGGGGCCAATGAAGCTTTCTAATATACATCAGTATACTCAACTAAGTATTTAACAGCTGGGAACAGTGTTCCAATCTTAACCTATTTGCACATAACTATCCAAAAAGCTTCCCACTGCTGGTTCTGCAAGTTATTGATGCATCAGCCTTTGAATTACTGTCATCATTATTCCTCAAAAAGGTGCTAGTACATTGGTAGAAAAGTAAGTTTTTTACCTGGAAAAAGGAAACATGCTATATTGTTATTGATCTATACTTAAAAACCAGAACTTAACACAAACAACAGTTCATCTTTGGATAACTGAGTTATACACAGCACTTGAAAATGCTTAATTTAATGGCCTTCCATGTATATTCACTGGTTTTAAGATGTTTAAATAGCACAGAAATTTCAGATCTTATTTCTCTATAAGACACTCACATGTTGTTCCAACCACAGGTTTCTCACTTCCTTCTAAAAGGTCCCAGAAGTAGAGAGATGATTGTTCCATCTGGTCTTCAACACTAGAACAAATGACAGTTTTACCAGGTAGAATCATAGCCAAGATCAAGTGTTGCAGTATCCCAACACCCCTCCTTTTAAGAGGCTGACCAATGTTTAATCTTCTAAATGAAGGCTGTATCCAAGGAGTGAATCCTAAGCCCATTATCCACTACTGAAAGTGATTCATCTGTACTGTTTGTATGTGATTTAATCTAGCAAAGACAAGGTCTTTTCTGGTAATTAAGACAGATTAGAGAGCCTAGCACTATCCCACAACACTATATGGCTGGCCTTCACTCCAAGCCAGGATTCCTTGACAGGGAAACAATTGCTGTTTAATCAGCTGATCATCTTGTTTATTGGATGCACACATGCAGGGGCAACTACCAACAGCTCCTGCCACTCTGCTAGTTATTGAGAAACTTGGGCATAGGTCCATGATCCACCTCACACCCTCCAGACAATGGATTGTTGAAGTCCACCAAGATGAAATTTAGTATCCCAAAGGAAGGGATTATACTTCTTGTAGAAGCATAATACAATGAGAATAAGCTAGAAACAAAAGTTATTACACTGAGATGAGACTTATTGTGTGGCTTTTTATAACTAGCTGTTCGATTAGGCAAGTTTAGCATATGACAAGTGATTACAAGTTTCAGGAACTTGGGTAATTTTGAATATGGAAATAATCTTAGCCATAGTGTTTCAATTTACCACCTAATAACTGCTTTTTCCATATTTAAATACAATTCTTAGTATACTATCTTAGGCTGTCATGCTAAACAAGCATCATCGCACAAGCATGATGCCAAGTTAATAGTGACATACATTACATCTGTTGACAACTTATTACCTTAAGATGTACGACATTTAGTGCACAGGTATCAAAACGTTCAAATTTTTAAAAACTACTTTGAAGGTAATAGCAAGAGAGCCTCAGGACTACCACCTTACACTCCTTTGGAATAAAGAAGTACATCTGGATCATCATGTGAATGGAATATAGAACAGTTCTCCTGTGTTTACTGCACTTTTTTCATTTCATGAACAGTGAGACCTCAGGGAAGCAGCACACCACCAACCTCCCTGCTTATAATGGTATAGGACTCTCCCCTCTCAACCTCACAGGGAGACATAGGGTGGCAGGGCTTGTGTGTAGCTTGCACAACTGAGGCTGTAATTACTGCGGCTTTCCTTTGACACTCAGTGAGTTAAATCTGCTACTTTCCTAATCTCAGACTAAAGCAAGTGTACTGAATAGAATTTTAATTAGTGTCCCAAAACATAATATTTCAAGACATGGCAGTGTCAAACAGAGGACATCTACTGTAATGAATGAAGCATACCAATTAGACAAAAAAAATCTTGAACTTACCTCAAGTTCTCATTTCTTTCTGGACATGTCAGTTTTGCAAATCTTATGAGGTAGTCTAGTTCTTTAGAAGGCAAATATATTGCACCATTCACACCACCTTTGAAATCTTTCTGAACATGCTCTTGAGTGAAGTTCTGCAGCACATACTGGACTTGGAGTATTGTACGCAGTTTTTTCTTCTCTGCTTCAAGCTTCAGTAGACTCTCTCTTCGCTGAGCCTTCCTCTGTGCTTTCAGCAGCTATTTTAATACATGAATTCCACAGTTAAACACAATGGTTTAGTAACAGGGTTCTAGGATAAAACACATCAAGTTCCAGTACTGATCATCCTATGTTGATCAAAATAGATACCAATTTTGGTTAGATAACAGAAGCTCCTAATTCTCTCTTCAGATACCCAAGATCTTTCAAGCTCCTCCTCTGGAAGAGCTCCCCATTTACCTACTAATTCTCTACACATCTAGCTTTTAGTCAAACTAGATACTGGTAGCTTCACTTGTGATATGCTTTTATGATATTTAGATCCTGATTATGCCTGCTAGTTGCTTTATTATAACAGCTTTCATAGTTGAATATAATGAATTGATACAAATGCACAAATCTAAGTCTAGCTGACCTTTAACATTTATCATATGAAGTTAGTAATTTGCCTCAAATTTCTCCTAGCAAGACAAATGCCTCTTCACTTTTGAATATTCCAAGTTAAATGATACAGCAGAATCCTACAGTTACTCTTATTTCTGTTGGCAGAAGACTGAAGCACTCAAAATAAGCAACAAAAATCACAGAACAAACAACCCCCATGCATTTGAGGAGAACTTTCTCATGTACCAATTATGCAGCAGAAGCTATTCAAGTAACTGCAAAATCCAAAATGCCTCAATATAGGGTATCTTAAGTTTCTTTGCAAGATGTATGAAAATTTAGTTTTCTAGAATGCACTGGAAAGAATATAAGGATGTTGTTGCCAGAACAGCCCCAAGTGTTCCAGTAATGGGTATTGGCTGTAGAATCCATACTGGTAGAAGTAGAGCCAAGGAAAAACCATTGTGTTAGCCTTTAAATATAGCATAAGTTCAAGATCAAATGTGAACTGGTAGAAGTTAATGCTGGATTACTAAAAACACCTACAGAAAGATACACTGGGTCACAATCCTTCATTTCTGAGGATGCAACATGAAGCAATCCAAGTTTTGACATTCAGCACAGTAGTTTCCATGTTCAACATACAATGACTGAGGGAACCCAAAGCAGCAACACTGCAGAAAAGGCTCTTAAATTTCTGCTCACATAGTGCTTTGAGAGATTTACTGCACTACCTAGAGTTACTACATATACAAGAAAATCCTCTCTAGCAAAATTGTTTGGGTCTCAGTCAACACTGAGACAAGTAATTTTACCAGTCCTTCAGTATTCTCTAAGCAGCAGAGAAATAGTGCCAGAGCAGTGACTAATCATGTTTAGCATCCCAAGCATTACCTTGGATCAGATCTTTTCATAAGGATAGTGTTTACATGAGCCAAGAGACCAGTTTCTCCAAAGATAAAACACTTGCTTACACAAAATAATGTATGTAGCACTTTAAACCCTGAATAAAGACCCAAATAAAGCAGTAAATCTGTGACTTGCCATAATTAGAAACAACTACAGCAGAATAAGTGGCAAACTCCACAAGCTTCAATAAAATTTTACTGAGAGCTGTACTTCTCACTGAAAACAAAGCAATTTAGCCCCAGCACTTTCCCTCACTGGAAACATCAACACATTCCATTTAGAAGGGATCTTGGGATGTCATCTAGCCCAGCCTCCAGAACAAAGGATACACCAAATCAAGACCAGATTCCTTAGAGCTTTGTGCAGTCAGGCCTTGAAAGGACAGATTTTACTACTTCTCTAGGCAGCCCACTAGTTCTCAGTTATCCTCAGAGTGACCATTTTCCCTACCTATTGGGAAACTACTATTTCAATTTATGATCATTCCTTGTCCTACCACATCTCAGAGAAAAGCCTGGCTCCATCCTTTCAGTAACCTTTGTTATTTAAAGGTTGTAATATTACACCTCTTGCTGAGCCTTCACTTTACCAGGCCCGAAGCCCAGTTCTTCCAGGTTTTCCTCACAGGTCTCATGCTCCAGCCCCAGCCATTTGGATGCCCACCACTGGATACACAAAGGCTATAGGTAAACTTCAGTGTGTCCAGTGACCAGAACTAGATACAACTGGTTAACAAGTACCAAATAATCAGTTCTTCTTAATCTACTGGTCCTCAGTCTAAGGTTGCCAGTCTGCAACTGTGCAGGGGATGAGCCTACCTCAGGAACAAGCTACCAGCAAGATGACAAACCTAAGTAAACTGGAGTAAATCTCAAACACAGCTGAGTTCCAATGACTCAGTTTATTTAAGCACAAGTTCTTACAGGGGTACACAGTGAATAACAATATTGTGGAGGTCAATGGCACACAAAATTGTCAACATTTACTCTGCTCTACTGACTACTCCAGACAGTTTAAGCACATTGTTCTCCCAGGTTCCAAGATAGAAACTTCCTAGTATTCTGCATATTGGCATATAAGTGTAGCCATTAGAAGAGTAGCACAAACTTTGCAGCTACCTCCTGAAAATATAGGGAAGAGCATTTTATACTTACATCTTGGCTAAGTCCTGAAAAAGTCTTCTGAAGTTCCTTGGCAAATTCCAAGTTGTGTACTACTTCATCGTATTTCTCCACTGCCTCCTACAAAGGAGTAAACATAAAAAATACATTTTTATCTAAGACCACTGGTTGCATCTCAATCCCCTTGTACTTAAATTCACATTGAGAACTAGTCATTTACTGCATAATTTTCTGGAAATGTAACTGCTTTAAAAATGCTATGTCTGTAACTGGAACTTTAAGTTTAGCTGTGAATATCATTTACCCATGACTGTCTGAGAAGTACAAAGCCAGCTCATACCATCACACAGATATCCTACAAGTTTGCCTGTATCAGACTTCTCAGGCAACATCTTGGGCAATACTTTTATACCAATGTTGAAACAGGAAAGCCTGGATACCAGTTATTTAATTTTTCCTTTTGTTCCCATAGGTCTCTGCAATTAGAGGTAAACAGCTACTTTAAATCAGATACTAATATGAAAGCCTGGAAGGAATATAGGAGACAGACAAGTTCAGCACAGATCTTTTAGCCTGATGCTTAGCTGAATGCCTTTACAGTACAAACTTCAGAAAGCAAAAACAATACAGAAGGCAAGTCTACTTTCAGAAAAGTCTTTCAAATCTAGTTTCAACAAATAAAGTAGTGTTCCTGTCTCCACTAATGGCTTCAACCAATATTTTACTAGCCAGTCTTCAAAAAGACTGCTCCAAGTAGATTAATTGCATTTTGATGTACCCTATTTTTATGAATTTTCCCCCACTAAGGAGTCAGTTTATAACTCTCCTTGACAGCTCTGAAGAGAGCAGAATGCTGTAGTTCAGACATGCTGCCCATATCCTCACACCATAAGACATACCTAGGAAGTAACAAGTTAAGTTTAATTTCAGTTGTTCACATGCATTTTACACTCAGTTTGGTTTATGCTTATGACATAGTATCAGAAGTTTTCCTAGAATGGGCCCATCAGTCTAACATAGAGCTCTTTCAAAGTAGTGTTAGTGTTGATAAGTGTTTCATAGTGCCATGACAAAAACTTAATCAAAATTGTTTTGGCTAGAAGAGACCTTTAAGATCATCAAGTCCAACCATTAACCTAGCACTGCAAAGTCCAACCACTAAACCCTGTCCCTAAGTGCCACATCTACATCTCTTAAATCCCTCCAGGGATGGTGACTCAACCCCTTCCCTGGGCAGCCTGTTCCAGAGCTTGACAACCCTTTTGGTGAAGAAATTTCTCCTAATCTACTGTCCCAATAAGATCTGGGACATGTGCAAATTCCATGTGTGTTCCTAAGCAACTGAAAAACAAGTTACAAAACAAGACAAAAAAGCAGATTGTATTTAATACCTATGATCCAAATCCAAAAGGCTCTTGCCCACCTGAGATTAAGTTTAGAGGAATTAAAAAAGAGCATCATCCTACTTCAAACCATTAGATTTAATTTGTTTACTTCTGCACTTGAGATGGCAAGAGGCTACAGACTTTGTAGTTAAATGCTAAATGATCATTTACTCCAATAGATCTACCCTGCTTTTAAGTAGCAAGTTATCATTTCCCCTCTTACCCCATTTATCTAGTTCTCATTTACAAATGATTCAGAGAATCAGAAATAGTATTTGTGTTCTCATACCGCTGCACTGTGTTAAAGTTAAGTCGATGAAGTATTTTTCCAACTGGTTCATTAGCAGGATCAGGACTACCACTGAAGAGTCAGTGCCCTTTATCTCACAATTGTTCTGTAGCATGCGTGAAGTACGTTTTAAAAATGTGACTTCTAGATGACTACAGCAGTAAACCCTTTGGATTGTGTGACATACTGCTCAGACATGCTTAAGAATCAATAGCTTTCACTTACAGAAATCTAGTTTCAGTTCTAGAATCCATTCTATCCAAGACAGGAAAAAAGCCAGAGCCACTGTTTTAACATCAGGCAAGTTTAAGTTAACTCCACAAAGTGGATCCCATTTGTTGAGTAGTGATCTTGCATCCTGGCATTCTAAACTCCAGCAGCCTTAGGTACAAAACAGACATACTGTTCTAACAGCACTTGAAAGTGCTGGCAACTCCCAGCTACCTAATGGCAGCACTAGGACAGGGGAGTGTTCCCAAGTAACTCACAGCTACACTCTTGTGTTAGGGAAGCCTTCAGATCTCATCCAAGTTAGACCAGCATCTTCCTTTTACCAACAGGGACTGTTTGTCAGTAATACTTTAACAGCTACTTGTGACCAACAGCACTGTGCAGCCAAGAGGCAATTTCAGGTAACACCACGTCATGGTTTAACCCAGCAGACCCCTAGAACAATCACACAGCCATTCACTCACTCCCCATCATCCCAGTGGGATGGGGGAAAGAACCAGAAAAAAAGGTAAAACTCATGGGTTGAGGTAAAGATAGTTTAATAGGACAGAAAAGTCAGAGAATGTGACTAATAATAGAATATATAAAACAAGTGATGCATAGCACAATTGCTGACCACCCACAGACTACCACTGCCCAGATGGTTCCTGAGCTGTGGTCCCAGTCTCTGACAAGCCTCCCCCCAGTTATATACCGAGCATGACATCATATGGTACAGAATATCCCTTTGCCAATTTGGGTCAGCTGTCTTGGCCACGTCCCCTCCCAGACTGTTGGGCACCCCCAGCATCCTCACTGGCAGGGCAGTATGAGAAGCTGAAAAGTCCTTGACTTGGTGTAAACACTGCCTAGCAACAACTAAAACATCAGTGTATTATCAACATTATTCTCATCCTAAATCCAAAACACAGCACTATACTCACTGCTAGGAAGAAAATTAACTCTATCCCAGTCAAAACAGGACACAGCTGTTAATGAAGAAGTCATGAGGATTAATTAGCTACCTTAGAAGTCTTGAAGCTTGGCTTCTAACACTGCAATGCCCTATAGATAAGCTGCATACAGACACCTCATCAAGAAATAAAGGTACAGGAGCACTGAAGCTGAAAGTCTACAGAGCAAAGATAAACAAGGACCTTCTATTACTTCAGTACACAACATGAAGGTTAAAGCAGGAGACAAAGCTTATGGGCTCACCATTCAGCTTAATTACCAATAACACGTCCATTTGGTTTCATGAATAATACCATTGCAAGCCTGCAGGCATTACTTCTGCAAAACTACACCACCATCTCCTTCAGCAACCTATCCCTTCTGACATGTTGGAAGGTTTTGAGGCCAAACACTCCTGCATAAAACAAACTTACCAACTGGTCTTGATTGAGAGCTTCTCCCTTCTTCAGGCGATCTTTGTAGTCTTCTAGTTTGAGCTGTAGGAAAATCCAAAGTAAAGTTTTTATATTGATTTCTGTCATATGTGGAGTATGGGATACAAATGAAGTTACATATTCTCTCTGTATTTCAAGTAATCCACATATTACAACAGCATAGGAATTTTACTACTTCCTCTCATTTTCAGGAGAAAGAAACATGGAAAGTTTTTTATGCCATTGATTAGGCAGTCTCAGTCTCCAGGACTGCCTTTTCCATCTTTGATCTTTCATTTCTTACTTGCTACCTTTATTTCATTTAATAATTACTAATACATTGACAGTAGATCTTTAAGGGACTCCAAACACATTCAGTGCCCTTATTTTAAATTAGGATTTTTATTTTTTTTTTTTAGCTTTTGCAAGTCAATGCTGGAATTTAGTTATCTTATCCTTGAATAATCCTACTTAATTTTCCAGATTATGTCTTTCAAAATCTGGCTTCAGTTATGTCATCAGGATTCTACAGCACTATTTCCTAAGAAAGTGGACTAATGTTTTTAGGGAAGAAATAAGATTTCTAATATACTGAAACAGTTTTTAAAAGCTGATTAAACTATACAAACTATTAGGTATTACAAGCTTCTTTTTACACACAGGGAAAAGAAAGGGGAGTTCACTGCCATGAAGATGAATATTATTTCATTTGTATATCTAGTCACATCGGGTTTTACTGACACAGTACCTGTCAAAGCCTAGGACTAGGAACACTCTCTAGTCATTCTAGTAAATCACACTTTCATTTGCTGGTGACACCATATTATCATTCATATGAAAAAAATCAAAGATACTTGAGAAATTGAAAAATAAGCTTCCTTGGTCAGAATTAGAGTACAACACCACGTTGGTTAATCACACAAGGAAGACACACTTATCTGACATTATTCAAAATTACAGCATGATGCATGACATGAGACAGCAGTAATACTGCATCTCCTGCAGGAGGATCAAGTCCCCTAGCCACATGGCCAGAAGTCTGATCTACTCCCTTCCCTCTCTTCATCCTAAGACATAACACATAGCTTTTCAGACATTTAGAAAAAGCAGAACATACTTGTACAATTGCTTTACTTGTAATTCTGATCCAGTGCCATAAGCAGCATCATCATTATTTCTATTATCTTACAGAAAATATCATTTTTCCCCAATTAAAAACCATGCACATAGCCTTCAGTCACCTGCCAATCAACTGAAAGTCTTAGAATGCAAAAACCTGACCAGCTATAGCCACAATTTTTTAGGTGTATCATCATCTCAGTTCTTATTAACACTATTCTGTTCCCCCCACTCACCCCACAAAACCACAGTTCAAACAAAGAGCAGGCTTTGGAGGCTTTCTGTATAAAAGCTTTCTAGTGAATAACATTTGACCATTTAAAATATAGAAGTCAAAGATCCACGCAAAGTGAAGGGCAATACATATTTAATATAATTTGACATTTCCATGAGTCAGAGCAAACACTGTTCTCATTTCCAGTTTTACATACATCTCTACATCCTAATATTAGATGCATGTAATCAATAGAAGAAATACGAAGATTCCTGCAACACTGAACCATCTCCAAATCAGTTTCAAGTTAGTTCCGAACTGATTCGGTCTATTAGAGAAGCACCCCAGTTTTGATCAACATTCAATTACTTTTGCTAACTATTGGACATGCACTGTAAAGCCAACAGCTGAGAGCAGGTTTATAGTTAGCTGCATTCCTGATTCTCTAAAACAATAATGTTATGCTCACACAGCATCAAATGCAAGTAGCCCATTTCAGAACAGTAAGAGTAAAGAACACCATTCTTCACGATACAGGAGGTATAAATGATAACAAAAAGTCACTAGCAAATCCACATTTAGGTCCTTTCACAGGTTATTTTAATCCATGATTACTCTCTGTGCTATTATAAAATAAGCAATGAGTTCTTACAATTAGCAGTTTAGCTACATGCCATACCAAAGAAAAACAAGTTACCTTCTTTTTCTCAATGTTCCTGATCTTGTGTTTGAGGCAGATAAGCCCATTATCAATGTAAGTCTCATATGCCTGGGAAGGAGAGGCTGCCGAGTTCAGCGCAGACTGCAGGGGGCTGGAGGGAGGTTGGCTCTCCCCAGAGGGGTTCACCTGCTGCTTGGCCGCCTTCATGCTCTTATCCTCCCCCTCCTTTGACCGGCCTGAAGGTGATGATGGGCGACGGAAAGGGGCTTGGGAAAGCTGCACCATTGAAATGGATGGAGCTGCAAAGAGACTCTTTTTATTTAGTTCTTTCTCGACCCCCCCCTCCCCCCTTATGTTACATCTTTTCTTATCATACATTCAGAACACGTAGCCACAAAATTGAGCCTCAGTAAGAATTCATCACAATCTTTCACTTTTCTCCCTCCCCCTTTCAAAATATCTGTAACAGGAATTTCAAAGCAAGGCAAACTTTGTATTGTTCAAGTCTCCCCACCCATCCAGACACCAGAAATCCTTTACATAGGCAGAATCAGACAGCACAGGGGATGATTCCAGAAACCCAATATAGTGCCCATATGAAAACTAGGCGGGTTTCCTGCACACATCACCCACAGCGAAAAAACTGCAAGCAAGCAATTGCAAATCACGCTGCCAGCCTTGCATCCAGCCTGCAGCCTGAATCAAGATTTAGAAGTGGCGTGCCTGAATGCAGAGCCTCTCTTCTTCTCACCTCCCATTAAATCAGTTTTACCCCTTCATGACCTTTGCAGCAATCAACCAAATATTTAAACTAAAAAAATTTCAACTGAAAAAGTGAAGACAAAAAATTGCTTAATAAAGCAAACAGCACACTCCGTTACAACGGCATTATTCTTCATGAGGAATTGGTTTCTGCCTACACCCATCCAAAAGATGCACTTGTGCCACAGCAAGACACCAGCTTTGATGGGAGGGGCTGGGCTTTAACCTTGAACAGAGAATTTCTGTAAGAGATGCTCCACCACCCTCATCTTCAACTACTTACACCCGCTCCTGGAAAGCAATGACACCACATTTCTGTCTCCCTGCCCGCCGGGGAGGCCTGCGGCACATCACCCCA